AAGCGTTCTGAAAATTAAATAGCTACTATAACAATTATATTTGTTCGAACGAATGACAATCAGGTGAAAACAGTTTAAGGGTTGGTTTTAACTACTGCCAGGATTTTAGGCTAAAATTGACTTGCATTTTTCAGCAAGCATGTGGGAGATTTTCATGCTACAAAATTGAATTGTAACAATGAAAATTTCAGTATATTTACTTTTAACCAATAAATTTACAATTGCGACAATGTGTTTTTTAAAGCTATCTGCTTGATTAAATATAGCTTCCATAATGATAGCAATAAAATGGAAATAAACAAATATTACTTATCTTAATATCAATTACCATTAATCCTAGAGTAAAAGCAGAACATGAAGAATCACATAATATTTCCAGGACTTTCTTCATCCTGTATATTTTGCCAGCTGTATCCTCCTCCCTCCACTGTCCCTATCACAATGCCTTGTCCACCAAGATTTAACTCAAATGGCATTTTCCTCTGAAACTTTCCTGAGCCAATATTAAAGCAAGCATTCACAGTTCCTAAAGAAATCTGATCAAATTTAAGTGCAGCTTCCTTCCCACAATAAACTGTGCCTAATTTCTAAGTCATCTGATGACCAAGTAATATGAAAACTTAGATTGTAAGGCTCCTAAGGCAAAGGCCCAACTGCCCATTACCATATGACATGGAGCCAAACACAGAACAATAACAGTAAAACAATCTGCAAGAAACATGGAATTTTATTATTATTATTATTTATTTTTATTATTAGAGTGAGAGAGAGAGTGTGTGTGTGTGAGCAGGGGAGAGGGGCAAAAGGAGAGAAAGAATCTTTAGCAGGCTCCATGCCCAGCACAGAGCCCATCACAGGGCTCAATCACATGATCTTGGGATCACTACCTGAGATGAAATCAAGAGTTGGATGCTCAACTAATGTGCCACCCAGGTGCCCCAGAAACATGGATTTTAAATAGACAAAACAACAAATGCTTACAATAAAACAATGTGTTTGCAGAGTCAGGAGGAAAGTACCTTCTAATGTTGAATTCATGTGAAAGTAAGACATAATATATCAGCACATATCACAGTTTTTATTATTCAATCAAATGCATGAGGCAAACTCCAAAATAAATACATATAGCCTTTCTCTTCAATTTTTTAAATCAAATCATTACTTTTTAAAATATTAATAATTGCATAAAGTAGGATTTACCTTCCTGAGATATTTTATATTTCAGTTTTAAAAGTCTCCAAAAGCATATCTAGTGATGTGACTGTCATTTAAAAAAATGATTTTCTAACTATATCAGGTAGAATTGCCTTATGGTACCTCTTCCTCAGCTTAATAAATTTCATATATGTCTCTTAAATACAGTAAATGATAACTTGGGACTAAATTTAAGATTTTGTATGAAAAACAAAAGGTTTAGAGTTTTAAGTCTTTTTAAACTTTTTTAAACTATTAGTTTTTTAAGTTTAAGATGTCACCTTACATTTAACATGTAGAAATGTCTAACACTTAAGAAAATCACTGACCATTTGGTCAATCCTAAATTCCCTGAAATAGTAATAATAAAACTAGGAAAATCCAGAACCTAAGAGGTCTCCACATACTTATTTAAATCTTAACAGTAATTTCCTCTTATTTGACTTCACTCACCCAATCTGTGGGAATTGCCTCTGAATCCTCCTGACTGGTTCATAGAATTAATGTAGTCCAAGATTTTCCTCCTATAGCTTGTTCATTATCACTGTTCAAATTCTATCCCCAGGAATACCTCTATATTTCATATTAAAGCACTGCTTTAAGTGGAGTCTTCTACTATATGACGATAAAAATAATTTTTTCAGTACCCATTGAATCATATAATCTCAGACTACAGATCTGTATAATGCAATCTGGTATTCCATTCTATTGTAATCAAAATAGAGCATGAAGACTAGGTTTGACATAAAGACAGAATATGTGATTGCCTCCAGTGACTTTAGATTAAACTTCATCTTCTCTAGGCCTTTCTATCAAAGTTCATTCCCCTGCACATGTCACTCCCATGCTAGCCACACTTGCAAGGACCCTGTGCTTAAATTAATGCTTTGATTTTGTCAATGTGAAATTCTTAGCAAGTTCTGAACATGGATCTGCTTTATATTTCTAAAGGGCACCACAAATTATGAAGCCAGTCCTTCCCTTAAGAGTGATAACACTTTAAATCACAGTATATATTGGTGTACTGAATAATGTTTCTTAAAGACAGTAGGGAATTATAAGAGTGTGGAGAGAGACACCAAATGCCTATATTTCACAGGTAATAAGGGGAAAGAAAACCTAAAACGGAAAGCCGTGGGTACAAATTAGTTCATTTCTTTATCTAATAATTATTTAGGGGTAGGGAGGGCACCTGGGTGGCTCAGTTGGTTGACTGTCTGACTCTTGATTTCAGCTTAGGTCATGAACCCAGGTTGAGCTCTGCATGGGGCTTCAGACTGAGTATGGAGCCTGCTTACAATTAGGACTCTCTCTTTTTCTCTCTATCTCTCCCTTTGTTCCTCTCTCCTGCTCACATTCTCTCTCTCTTATAAATGAATGAGTGAATGAATGAATGAATCAATCAATCAAATTACTTTTCAACTACCTACGAAGTACCATGTATTGCTCCAGATGCTGGTATTATAATAACACGCAGTATAGACAAAGGCCCAAACTGCATGAAGCTTCTACTCCAAGGAGGAGACAGACAATAACCATAACCAGGTCTGTCTGTGATGGGCGGAAAACAGCGAAGGGGAATGATTTGAAAGAGGACTTAATATATCTCCTTTATCTCTAGCACTGATACCTTTGGTAACCAGGCCAAATAATAACAGTTTAAGAAACTTCACTTATTACGACTAAACTTTCATTACTAAGAGGCATTTCTAGAATATTTTCTGCTTTTCTGATCATCTTATGACTTAGGAGTTTTAGAAATTTCATGAATCAATACTAGTTATTTTTTCTCCTTTGCCCTTATAGCCCATAGCTTGAAATGGGTAATATAAGTAGTATATTTGAAAATGAATGTCAGGGGCTGCCTGTTTGGCTCAGTCAGTTAAGCATCCGACTCTTTGATTTTGGTTCAGGTCATGATTGGACAATTCATGGGTTCAAGTCCTGCATCAGGCTTTGCATTGACAGTGTGTAGCCTGCGTAGAAGTGTCTCTCCTTCTCTCTCTCTGCTTGGGATTCTCTCTCTGCCCCTCCCCTGCTCACTCACTCGTGCACACACTCTCTCTCAAAAATAAATACATATATAAAAAAAGAAAATGAATGTCAGAAATAATTTTGAAATAATATAATTCTCCTTCTGTACATTCTATGCTCCCCCTTTTGTCTAAGTTTAATGTTAAATGAATTATGCTACCATCAGACAAGTCTGTTTCGATAGGAGCATCGCTTATTTGGATCTGGGTTTATGTCACTGGTTCTGGAATAAAAAAAAAAAAAAAACACAAAAAACCAAGAAGCAAACAAACCACACAAACAAACAAAAGCAGTGTTCATAATTTAGTGTTGACCAATTCTGGAAAATCGTCCCTCGAAAATAAGGACAGATAATCCTGGCTTTTACACAACTGTTCTCACTTTTACAAGAAATAACATTATGGATGTCACCCAGCACACTGATGTAGGCAATCAGTGGGTATCTGTTGACTGAATGAAAACATAAACAATGATGACTGAGCAAATCAAGAGCTTTCTGTTAGATATCCTGAAACAGTGCTAGCACCAACTTTGTGATAAAGTTTAGATAATAGATACTATCAAAATAATTATTATCATTTTGCCTAGAAAGTGACATCTGTCCAAATACACGTACCTTTCATCCTTCTAATCTCCTTTTACATTAACCGTGGCTGACAAACAATGAATATCTCTTAGAAATCATGCAGAATGTGAAAGGTAAGCACACGTGGTCAGCCAGAAGAATGAACCTATATCCCTTAAGGAGTAAAATCAATCCAGTGTGCAATGGAATTTAAATCATGAGATGACATAAAATCACAAGTCAGTCTGTTACCACACGGGAGTCAAAATGCCGCCTGACTGGAAAGGAAAAGCTGTTTAAATGTTCTCAAAACAGAGTATGTCTGCTGGCTACATCTGTGCTCTATGATTTCAACACGTATTATTCACCCTAGAACTATATAAAAATCCTAAATTGAAATTCAGTCTGGTAGCAAGCTGGCAAAACAAAGCTACATTGGTGGCATCCGCATGCATACTGATTGCAGTTCACAGAATCACAGGGCTTTTTGAAAACATCCTAAGAGGTAAGCTAGCGTGTCTTCCCATATTGAAGTCCTAGAATTTACCTCATCTAAAGATGTACATTTAATTGAGAGAAAATTGATAACATTTTCATTTTTAACTTTAAAAGAAGGAATTTCACTTCCGTATATTTTTATATTTAATCATTTCCACTGGGAAGAGATTCTATCATAACGTTCTTCAAAAAGTCACATTGGATCACAAGTCTAACACTTTTATTGTTGGTTTTAATTGGTGGAAAATACACTTTTTATGTATTCTTATTGAACACTTCTAAATGATCTCTCAGTATTTTCTTCTTAGGAATAAATATTTTGTTTGTTTAAAAGTTCCAAAATTTGATCTAACTCCTTAGGCATCTGTTGTTTAACTTTATTAATTAAAACAATGTTAGGCTCTAAAAAGAGTATCTAGTGAATTAAAAAAAAAAAACCCTCTTATTATTTAATCTGGAAGCCTATATCTATCATAGCCAATGCTATTACTGTTATTTGCACTACTTCTATAAAACCTTATGTAAATCTAAATCAAAATAGAAGTAGCAATGTCTTTTAACATGATATTTACTGGACATTCAAAATGTTAGGATTTTGATTTTAGTAAAGTTAAATAATAATGTTCTTGACTGAAGACTATTTGTCTGCTAAATGTAAAGAAATTATTTTCAATGCAAACATCTTTTGCATTACAAATATGCTTCTTACCTGTGCTGCTGGATATATTAACATCAATACTGATATCAGATATTCCTCCTCCCTTCAGAGATGCTACACATGTGTATGTCCCAAAATCCGTGAATTTTAAATCAATGATGTCCAAGTTTGTCGTTCCCGGGGAGACATCCGGATCAGTCTGTGTAATAACCATCCTCTCAGAACTTCTCAATGGACGGCCATTTTTAAACCAACTAAATGTTAACTCCTCAGAAGGAACAGCTTCTACTTGGCAAGATATTTTCACCTCACGCCCAATCTGGATGTTGTCATCCTTGTGATAAGGATCTGGTGTGATCCAAAATCGTCCTTTTTTTAATGCTAAAACATAAAAATTCCATAAGTAGTTAGTGTTACTTCCATAATAGTAACGATTCATTCACTCTAGGTAATCATCTCTGGGCTGAAATAAAGTAAAATAAAATAAAATAAAGTGTATGTATGTTTCTTTGTTATTCCAAGTAGTTGCTGTCAATAAACTTCATTTAGGGAACCTGGAAACAATCTCAGGATCTAAGTCACTTAGAGATTCTAAACACTGATTTTTATAAATTGGATAATATTTTCCAGTGATATAATTGATGCTTTAAGTCTACAGATGATACTTAAACATTGTTGCCATTGCATTGTGAACAAATGGTGTAACCTGTTGACATAAAATCAGTAGGTATCAGAGTTAAAAATAATAATATGGATCATTAAGCTCAATTCAATACCTGTGCTGCCCCTTAATTATGGTGCAATTTCCTAGAGAACTCAAATATTGCACCAATGTCAGATTAAAGAAAATTCTTCTAAGATTTTGAATACATGCTGACCAAAACTAGTTTGGTAAGAATTGAGTCAGTTCACATTCATAAGGTATTTTCATTTATTGCAATAACCTGAACTGAAAAGAACTTAACAAAAAAAGCATTTGCAATGCCTGTTCTATTTCACCATACATAGATGTTTCCAGCTGAAATTGCTTTCTGGCTCTCCCATGCAGAGGGCCAGAAGATTCTCTTGGCACATGGTTTGGACAACATGCTGTGTTTGTGTCCTAACAGCAGTTCTTTCTGGGTCTAAGGGCAATGCTATTCTCTCATCCTGTGTCAGGAGTGAGGGCTACCATGGGCTTCTGGGGGAGCATCTACTGGCCTCCCAAGGGCTCCAGTTCTCAACTTTGAATGATACTATGGGACTGAATATTGAATAGGGTTTGCTCCTTTATTTATGGCATTGATTCTTAGACACACATTCTTCTCTTTACTAACATCCTACCCATTTCCCTCTCCCTTAATAACACTTAATGCCCCTATATAATCAAATGTAGCATATGCACTGAAATAGAATTATCAGAATAAAATATTGCTCACTTTTACCATTAAACCAAGTATAAATGACACTGCAAAAATGATGTGACTTTAAAATAACCTGTAGATATTGGAGGCCTTCTAACTGTACTGTGGGTAACCCTTCCTGAGTTTAACCTGATTTTTCTTAGTTCATCTCATAAAGGCAAGAAAATACCACGGAAATCTTAGAACTATATAAGAATGCACTAGACATTAACACCTTTTTCAGCTCAAAAATTATTGTCTTTAATTTTATTTACTAGTCAGCCCCAAATAATTTCATCTGCTTTTTTGTTTGCATCTGAGGAGAGATAAATGAGTATCAAAAATGATGTTTATATATTTCTTTGTATTCAGGAAAAAACTTCTAGGGCTCCTGTTCAGGACTAGGTACTAGATGAGGCCCTTATTACATGAGATGAACAAAGCAGACGTTTCACCCTCATGTATTGGTACAGCATATTGTGTACTCATAGATCAGAGTTCAATTATCCACTGACACGTATGATGCTTGTGTCTGGAAAAACCACACTCTACATTGATATTAAATGTTTTAAGTTTGAAGAGATCTGAATCTCAGAGAATCCTTTAAAATATTGCTCAGAAAAGGCACAAATCTTCGTTCTTAACGAAAACACCAAAAACAAATATTTAAATCATATTCTCATATTGTTGTTTGTTACACTTTTCCACAAATAAAATGCAAGTTATGAACCTTATTTACTGCTAACCGTGTCTTTATCAGTATATTACTGTAGGTTGAAATTAGGAGAAATTTTATCATTCTATTACCCAGTACCCATGTAAAATGCATTTACATTTCAATGGCATTGAAATACAACTTTGTGCCTAGAAAGGAAAATGTGCTGAAAATGCCTATATTTGATATATAATATTGTTAGCATATATTTCAAATATAACTAAAGTTCTATAGCACAAAGTAAATCATATCTTACAATATTTTTTCTTGTTTTAAGAGTTCTAAAAAATTAGTATGTCAAGGATGCCATTTCAAGGAGCATTTACTTTTATCAGCACCATAATATTTAAATGAGTTTCCTTTCATTTGCTCAGAATTTTCCTGATTATGTTTCTATAGAAAAAATGATGAACTTAAACAAAATTTTTAAACAGATAACTCTTAATTTTAAAAGTTCAAATATATATATTAGTTTATTAATAGCTGAATATGATGGTACATTTAGAATAAATTTCATTCTAAAATTATGAGGATGGACATATATAAGCACAACACAAAATTCCAATGTTTCAGTGATTAACATGTATCTATCAGGCAATTACTGTTTTCTAGGTCTGTTCTCTGCCTAGTGATGTATTAAATGGATACCATCACTGAGAGATCTGCAAATTCATCATATTAGTTAGATTTAAACAATAAAAGAATTCAAAGACACTAATTTTTTAAAAAACCATAAAATCAATATTTATATTAAGTGTTCCAAACTGTTTTGTTCATAGAAAATAACTTTTAAAATCCAAAGTATAAAAAATATTAAAGATTATAACTATAACAAATAACTAAAATTCAATATTTTATTGAATGCAACTATATTTTGTGATAAAAAGCAAATAATCAAGTGGGCTTTTAAAATGAATTCACTGTCACAAATATCTGTTGTTCTCAATAACAGGCCACTCTATGACTTGGCCAATGTCAATTGCATTAGTGTTCTGAATGACAGATTCTAAAAAGGAAAAGAGGGACAAGTCAGTCTGGCAAATGATCTAAAGTTAAGGAATATCAGAATAAGCATGGATCATTTGACTGTAGAGTCATCTCACTGAGTTTGTCTTATGTCACCTCATACCAAAATGCCTAGTTTTGCACAAAGAACATAAATGTTTAAGAGAAAAGAAATGCCGTGTATGCATGCATGTGTGTGAATACATGCATGACCATCTCTTGGACCATTAGACAGTTAAATTTATTTGATTTTCTAACTTTGGCTCCTCAGAAAACTAAAAGTATGGCTCTATTAACTAAGCACAGGTACATTAAGATTTTGAAACCTAATTCTTTTCATTCCTATGTGGTCCAATATGGGCAATGTAATTTTTATGGGTCAAGTGCATCATTTATAAAGATAGGAGGTGATAGTGGGTAGGCTTCCTCTGAGACCCATTGTGAGAAATAGCTTATTAGAAATAGTGTAGAGCTTTGAAAATATAAAGTGTCTAATATAGTTAATCAGCTGGGAAGCAGGTTCCTTCGTTTATAATTAAACACTCTCTTTTTCAGTGAACAATTTATGGTAGTTCATGCAACGTTAATTTAAAGTCATTTCCTGCTAACCAGTTAAGATTTCAAATGCTTAAAATCAATCTGTGATTAGTACCAAAGTATAACAAGGATCCAACAGACATAACAAGACTCTATAGAACTAAAGAACTTCTACAGAAAAAGAAAGGAGAAATCCCTTTCCCCAAATGCAATTTCTTAGTCTCACGATTGAAAATCCCCTAACACCAGCCTGAGAGAACATTAGATTTGGCTTAATGTATCATAAATTGTGATGGATGAACCTCAAAAGGTACTTGTTTAGTCTGGCAGTTCATGTAAAGAATTGGCATCAAACTGAGCCTCTGTTTGGGATAATCAGTTAGAAACATTACCATATAACCCACAGCCCCTGTTTTTTTTTTTTTCTTTTCAATATTGTGAGAACTGAATACAAACTTGGCCCACATTCACTTATGACAAGTTATTTGTGAGTGTATTCTATACGCATTCACTGAAGTCCCTCTACTCTGAAATTTAAAAAGGTGCTCTGAGAATAGAATAAAACCAGTGCATTATATAGCAAGGCCACTGCAAAGATCTAGGTGGGCTTGCTGCTCACCTTTCCCTAGAGGTAAAAGTATATTTTTGCTGATGAATGACTGAGCTCTGAGGAAGATTTCCAGTATATGAAATTAGATGTTGCCTGGGCAGCTCAGTCAGTTGAAGTGTCTGAGTCTCTCTCTCATTCTCTCTGTCTCATTCTCTCTCTGTCCCTCCTTCACTTGTTCTCTGTCTCTCGAAAATAAGAAATTAATTTAAAAAATTAAAAAAAATTAATTACTTCTTGAGTTTATTTTTGAATGAGAAACCACTGGCTTTGGAGAAGCCTATGTCTGTGGCTTCAAGGATATAAGCTCAATGAAGATAAAGACAAAAAGGGGGCTATGAGGTTCTATCTTGCCTGTATAGACTTAAAATTATTAAACTAAGTATAGACTTAAAATTATTAAATGTTATTGACTGTTTGTCAAATGTTCCATAAGTATACAGCGTACAGTAATTACAAAATATACTTTGTAGATACAAGAAAAAGTGACATTAAATAAACTGACATTAAAAATGTTTTAAATTTGGGGGCATTTGGGAGGCTCAGTCAGTTGGGCATCTGACTTTGGCTCAGGTCATGATCTTGCAGTTCATAAGATTGAGCCCTGGGTCAGGCCTCTGTGTTGACAGTTCAGAGCCTGAAGCCTGTTTCGGATTTTGTGTCTACTTTCTCCCCCTCCCTTGCTCATGCTCTGTCTTTCTCTCAGGAATAAACATTTTAAAAACTTTAAAAATTATTTAAATTTTAATGAGGAAACACCTCTTTGCAGATATGAAATAACAGGTGTCAGCCTTTTAACCTCTGCTATTAATATAGCTATTTCACAGGGATGATGAGACACAGAGTGATCACTGCACACTATTCTAAGTAGTTAAATTAGTTAAAAATCGCCAAGTGTACCGATTCTTATAATATCAGTGGGATTCTGGACTGCATGTAAACTGACAAAATGATGCTGAGAGAAATGGACCTAGAAATCATTAATAGTGTAATCAGATAAACAAAAAATGAGTTTTATTTATTTCTGTTAAAGACAATAAAAAATATATAAGTGGAAAAAGAAGTATTTGCCAGTCTCACATGATGTCAATTGAATAAGAGTTAGAAATAAATTACATCAGCAGAACAATTTAAG